GGGGGGGGGGGGGGTGATGAGCACCGACCAGGTATTGGCGACCACGCGCGGATGCCACTGGCAGCAGTGGCCAGCAGCGGTCACTGACCAGACGCTGCTGGCAGTGTCGGCAGTAGGGAGCGAGGAGGGTGGCAAGCAGCAACCACTTGCAGGTGCCGCTGACTGTCTTGGCAGTGCCTTTTCATAGGGGGTGCACATGCACCCATGTGTCCCCCCATGTGTCGCTCGTATCAGTACCAATCTGGTATCTGACCAATGTATCAGTGCACCTTTAGTGTTCGGTCTTTCTTGTGTGTAAGGATTGCCTGGCCTGTTCAGTGTAGACAGCTGAAGGGCACATAGCAGGGGGTGGCACACATAACATTGGTAGACTTGGAGGTAAGCAAACCTCAGATGTTACACAGTCAATGTAAAAGTGATGTAGTAAGGGGGCACAGCTGGCATCTGGGTCCATTACAAGGCCTCGTGCCTCTGTGAGATGGGAATTGATAGGCTCTTGCTAGAGAGATGTTGTTTAAGGTTGGAGGGATTTGTTCCTCCATGGCTGCTTTGAGGCGGTTGTCCTTCTTTCAGGAGCAGTTGGAGGTCACTCGTGTTCAAACTGGGGGACTGTAGGTGACAACCAGAGGGATTCTGTTGCCGTTTTCTCGGGGTGGGTATTGTAGCAGGTTGCACCAATGTCTGAATCTGCATTTGTTGATCTGAGTGGCTACAGTTTGGGGATTGTACAGGCAGTCCTCGGACTTACGACACAATTGGTTCCTGAAACCACGTCTTAAGTTGGAACCGACTTTCTCATAAGAAACAATCTTATAAATGGGGGATTGGTTCCTGAACCAAGGCCCGATACCCTATTTTCACTAAAAAATACCCCAGAATTTTGTACTTGATCAATTATAGATGAGCAATATAGCTACATTAATGTATTTATATTGTAAATAGCAATCATTGATTTGGAAGGACTTCTCTGAGATGACTTTTTGAAAGGCTCTTGGTTGGACATTTTGAAGGGTTCTTGGCTGGCATCTTCTCAGGTGTCCTGGCTGCAACTTCCTCTGGAGTCTTGTCTGCTTTGTTAAAGAAACTGTCCAAAGAAGTTTGCACAGAGGTTCTCCAGAGACATGGATGAAACAACGAACTTGTTCGCTGGCATGGCGTCGCATCTGTGGAAGAAATCATACTTCATGTTGTGTTTTGGTATTAGAATTAACAGACCCAGTCCTGAGTTAATTGGAGCTCATACAAGTGATCGCGGGGAGGGTTCTAAACAGAACTCCTCCCTTGTACAAGTTAACATACCTTTTTATACCCAAGACTGTGAAAAGAGACACATGATTTAAACAAAGCAACCTTGAAAGAAAGGAAGAGGTAGATCATTCCGTTGTTACACGTAACAGTTGCTTGCTCAGCAACACATTTTGTTTTGAGAACTGTTATCACCTTCTTGTTGATTTTACGAAAGAAACATTTGTTCCCAAAGAACTGTAAAAGACATAATAAAGCAGAAGGGTTTTTCTTATCTTAGAATATTCTTAAACATACAGTATCAGCATCTTCTTCAATTTTTTTTTCTTCACTCTCTTTTCTTAGTCAAGTTAGAGGCCTGGATTAATTTATTTCTACACATCGGATCAAGTGTTGTAAAGTCGAAACTGACATCATAAAGTTGAAACAGGGTGTCAATTTATAAACGTTGCAAGTGCAAAATGTTGTAACTCAAAACATAAGTCAAGGACTGCCTGTATTGTAATTGTAGGAATCCCTGTGGTATTTAACTATATATTTAATCAAAGTGTGTTCTGACATTTTTCTAAGGCCTGGTCTAAGCAATGCTTTTAGTTTTTTCTTGGTTTTTTGTTGTTGTTTTTTTAAGTACCTGAATAACTGTCAGTTAGGGGAGTCTTTTTACTTAAATATGGGCACTGATAGATGTGAAAACCCCCCACAAAAATAGCTCTTTACTGGAAGAAGCAGGGTGTTAGTTCAGCCTGGCTCTGCAGCATTTGTATACATCAAGTGCTTCAGCAGGGTTTTTCAGCACTTTTATCTAATAGCTGATTCAATCTGAGTTATACAGATGTTGGGTGAGCTGGGTCCAACCAACATGACGCCTCTTCTGGGCATGTGCTGAGCTCAGTGCAGGGGCACACTGACATTAAAGTAAAGCACTGTTGTTGGGTTTTTTTGTGGGGGGTATTCTATGTCTGTAAGCAGGCTATGTGACTAGTGCAATTCTGTGTGGAAGTAGCTACATGGTATAAAAATGTCATTCCTGTGTAGTTTTGAGGGTGTTGGTCATACCTATATAGTTTGTGCTTTTCATAGATAGTAAGGGACTGGAAGAGACCTCAGAAGATCATTGGGTCCAGCCCCCCCACTCTAGGCAGAAAGACAACTGTCCCCTACTCTAGGCAGGAAGGTGACTGTCCAGTCTCATCTTGAAGATTTCCAGGGTAGGTGATTGCACCACCTCTGGAGGGAGCTTGTTCCAGTCCGGACACCCTGACTGTGAAGTTTTTCCTAATGTTGAGCCTGAAACAGTCTTCCAGAAGTTTGCGGTCATTACTGCTGGTTAGAGAGTGATACCTGGACAACTGCTTCCACTCTGGGACTATTTAAGAGTACTTTTGTATCACTTTTTTATAAATCACTTTAAGAGTGATTAAAGCTTAATCACTTATATGCAGGTAGTAACACAGTTGTCATCTTCAGAATGAATAAAGTCTATCTGGCTGTAGACCAGTTCTGCCTGAGTACAGTAGGAACGAGGCGGGGGAAAGCAGCCTTGATACAGTCACAGTAGTACAAACTTACCCTGTCTACACTAGGATTTTATTATGCCTTTATTTTTATTTTTTCCTAGAAGACCCAAGGTCTGTACAGTCCACCACGGGAAGAACAAATAAGTTTTGTTTTGAAAGTTTTCTGGAGCAGTGGCATGCAGTGGAGGGAGGTGCTCCCCTGTGCCCTGGCTGGGCAGCACTTGCCCCAGCCCCTGTCCTAGCCCCAATCCCTCCTTCGCTGCGAGGGCATTGATCTGTGCCCTCACACCCCTTCCCTCCACTGCGTTGGAACCTCAAAACATGGTGTCCGTTTATAAAGGTCGTAAGTGCTGTTCGTCGCAAGTCAAGGACTGCCTGTATTTCAAATAATGGTTCCCAGCAGTATTTGGCATTTGTCAACTATAATTTAAGTATGAATAGCGTAGGGAATGTACTGCTTCATTTAAAAAAAAAAAAAAAAGAGGCTGATTTTCATTAGTCACAAATAAGGTGACCCATAATTTGAAATGCAGTATTGAACAGGTTATTAGATTACAAGTTTTTCTGTTGGATCTTTTAAAAAGTGAACTTTTGGGCTGTATTAGTCCTAAGATTTTGCATTGTAATGAAACCCAAGTTAGTCCTTGGCTGAGCTGCCTCCAGATGTGGAAGTGGAAAGCAGAGGTCACTAATGCTCCAAGTTGTGTATATATAAGCATGCAGTGGTAGAGTGCTGGTGCACTGCGTTGGGAGTCCCAACAGTGGGTAAGGATTTTATGGGCATCTTCTGGAGGAACACCCTATTACCTCTAAGCTGAAAATACAAAACTTTTTTTTTTAAACCAATATAGCTGCTGTTTAGGCATGTGATAACCCTGCCCCCCCTACCCCCACCCCAAACCACATTTTTGTATGGATAAAGCCCCTAGGTACAAGAGCAGTTAAACTAGTTGTACATGTGATTATCCCAGTATAAAATGTACCCATGTGAGGAGTGCCATTCCTTTAATAGTAAAACTTCTGAGTTTACATGATTTAGGGTTCAGTTCCTCTGGATCCCACTAGAAAAGTACACTGTAGCAGCTATGGACATAAATGGAATTAAGGAGAAAATTTCAGGAGCAAAACAATGTACCCACAAAGCTGCAAAACCAACATATGGGACTTTGAAGGATAACTTGTTCTCAGGCTGGTACCCAGTCAGAGATGGACTGCTGTCCATTTTATATTTCTTCAACAGTAGAAACACAATTGTTGCTAAGGAACAGTAATCAGATTAGACATTTCTGAGTACCGGTGTGTAATCTTGTTTCAGATTAGTCTGTAGCTATTAAAATGATGCAACCTAGGATTACCTCTTCATTATTTAATTTGTGAAGAGAGAGACTTTTCCCAAAACACATAATTTATAGAACTAATTCAGTAACTTGATCTAGTTAAAACATTTGTTTTGTGCTTTTTTGGTAAACAATTTAAAGTTTTCCAGTAAATGGTAACACAAATTAGACAAATGATTTAAACATCAGCATTTGTATTAGCTTTTCCTTGGTGCTTTTTTTGTTGGGGTGCACCAATAAAGACATCTTTTGGCTGATACCAATGGCCAATTATTAACCAGCCATATTGGCCGATATCAATCCAATAGCCAATATGCAGCGCAGCAGCTTGGAGAGCAGCATCTGGCTGGCAAGTCTGGTGGGGGGGGAAGAGATGTCAGGGGGCAGGTCAAGGCCCCCACAGTCGGGGAGGGAGTAGGGCTGCGGCAGGGGCAGGTGCTGCCTAGCCAGGGTGGTGAATGTGATCCTGGGAGCAAGGCAGAGCCGCAGGTGGATTGTCTGGGAGTGTAGCGGGGAGGGGGGCAACTCCCTACTGCTGCGCACACGCCTATGGGAGGCATGTGTCCCCTGGATTTGTGCACGGGGTGCAGGCTCGGGGCCAGGGGCTGTGCCAGCCTCTTCCTGGTGGGAACTGGGCCAGGCCTGGGCTCCGAGCAGGCAGGGGTGGGGCAGGCAGCAGCAGTACTGGGAAGGGTGGCTATGAGGTGTGCTATGGCCACCCCAAAATTTGCCATAGCCACCACTCTCAGCACTGCCCCCACCCGCCCTGCCCCCATTTGCTCAGAGCTCAGCCCCACTTCTGGGAATAGGTCAGCACAGCCCCTGGCCCCAAGCCTGCAATAGGCAGCCCACCCTTGTCCTGTGCATAAATCCGGGAGACACGTGCACCCCTCTTCCCCACCCCCCCAGTACCCCCCAGACAAGCCACCTGCAGGTCCGTCCCACTTCTAGGATTGCATTCACTGCCCTGGCTGGGTAGCACCTGCCCCTGCCCCAGTCCCTCCCTCACTGTGGGAACCTCTATCTGCCCCCTTCCCACTCTCGGTCCCTCCCTCCCCCACAGACTCAGTGGCCAGATGCTGCTCTGCAAGTTATGGGGCTGTATTCCTGGCCTCCTGCATGCCATGACTGCGCATATGCATGTGGTATTTATCGGTGACATTATTGGCTACACCTGCCAAAAAAAGGCTGATTGCTGATGTCAATTTTCCTTTTATTAGTGCCAGTCCAATATGGACCAATATATTGGTGCATCTCTACTTTTTGATGTAGTAACAAGATAATACCTGTAATTTAATAACAGATTATGGGGTATCAACTGGTTTTACCTACAATCACTGTCACTGCAAGTGGTTACAGGGGGAAAGATTTTTTTTCTTTCTACTTTATCTTGTATATTTACTAGATTGCATATTTAGTTCCCATTTCTATGAAACGCTTATTTAAAAAAATAGTTAACTAACTTCAAGGGAGTATCAACTTGGAAATAGAGTTAATTTCACATTGCAGTCCTAATTCTAAGATGAATAAAAGCATTTTACAATTAAAAATGGACCTTTTGGAAATAATGGGTAGTTATAAAAGCCATTTGATGTAATTTAAAAAAAATGAATGTTGATTGTGCCAAGAGAAAAATGGAGGGCACTGCTGAGCACTCAAAGCTCAAGTGCCTAAACTAAGGTAGAGTATATTCCTTGTGCTGATTCCTACAGTCTTTGTCATTCTGAGAGAGCATTATATAACTATGTAAAGGAAAAACTGCTTACCTTAAACAGAGCATCCTGTAGAACCTGGTACTATGTTTTCTGATTTCAAAGTATTTGTGCAACTTTTCCTTTCTGTGAAAGTAATATTTCATAAAAACAAGTACACACCCCTTAGAGCAGGGGTACCCAACCTGTGGCACATGTTCCCACTTCTTCCCATTTTCTGTATGCAGATTCTGTACAGTTTCTCAAATTTTACTGCTCAGTGGATACGTCTAAACTTGCAATTAATGCACTCCCCTGCAGCAGCCTGGGGTACCCACTTCTCTTTTTCCCCACCCCAGTCCCAGTGCTGCTCAGCTCCCACCTCCCCTCAGCACTGAGCAGGAGCTGCAGTGTGGGCTAGGAGATCCCAGCTTGTCACTGCCCTCCCTCCAGTTAAGTGCAGAGCAGCCCCATGATGCAG